CATATCGCCACCTGAAATGCAAAATAACGTATCATAAAATAATCCAAAAATGAGTGTCTTATTGATTACGCTTCACTACCTCAAATTACATGCATAATATTACATACATACATATGTATGTTCAACATTTTCAGGTTCTGCGGTCAGATGTAAACCAGTTTTAACCAATATTAAAATGTTCCTCATGTTCCATTTTATTTCGTGTTTCATTCATAACACTGTAAAGTTTCTAAAATGTTGTTACGTTATTTTGCATTTCAGGTGGCGATATACGTATATGTTTATAATATATTCGAGAAAACAACAATATCCTCTCATCTTATGTTCCTCGTTAATGTACATACATATGTATTTCCTTAAGCCATTACGCACTACACAGGGCAGTAAAAATATAATACCACAAAGAACACAAATGTATACGTACTTATGTATATGTACATACATACATACGTAGATCACAAATTTGTACAAATCATTTACGTTATTAATATTAATTGTTACGACGTTTGTGCACATTTTGTTTCAGTTTACAAACGGTAAAATCGCAGAAATATTATACATTTGGTGGTGCAAGACCGTAACGTAAGAAAAAATTATATATGTCACACATAAATATGCACATATGTATGTATGTATATGAAAATTTTGAAGAGATACTTAATTCACAACTAGTGAAGTTAAGTGGTGAAAGGAGTAAATATGTAAAATATTAACTGATACTGAACTAAATATCTTCTTGGATGTACGATAGTTTCGATAATTATTCAATTACCTTTAAAGACAATATTATTGGAATGAAATTAGAAATCGGCCACGATACCTTATTCCTTAAACTTTTTTCCGGAAGTTTTTACATTATTGGTGATTACAATGCGAAAATATAAGTGATGTATAAACATAAACATTATTGGTGATTACAATGCGAAAATATAAGTGATGTATAAACATAAACAATTCTACAAAATATCGGTTGTAGTTCTAATTTTAAATGTTATCTCTGCACTTTCTTACTGGGTTTTCTCTTACTAATACAAATAAAAAATACCCCCACTACCGTTCAATATGTTTGCTTTACTCTCCATTATACCACCTACAAGTACTTACATATATGTACATATGGATACGTGAGTAAACTCTTGGTGAACTCTTTATAGCCGACATATGTATGTGTGTTTGTGCATATATCTGAATGTATGGTCATGTGAGTATTTGTATATGCGTAGGAAGCGGATCGTATAAATTTTGTGCATATATGTACATATGAAGGAGTAGAAATATACTTACTATATGTATGTAAGTATGTATAGTATACGCGTAATATTGGGATTGAATGGCTTTGTTGGGTGGCAACATGACATTGGATTGGTCAAATGTCGACAAATGGACAATAGCCAACTTGTGGCCATTGCTTGTTTTCCCTTGCAGAGAAATGCTTTCTCTTCCTGCCGGGGAGAATGTTCGTGTGAGCCAATGGACCCTTTTGAAAAGTGAATAGCTTGTTGTGCTTTAGAAATACTATGGAAACTGAGTAGCTTTGCACGAATGTTAATGGACTTGAGCATGTGTATAAAAGGACTCTCATGTGTGTACTCTCTACATCCAAGATACACACATTAATATGGACAATGTCTCTCACATTTCAGGAATTGAGAATGTACTGGTGGACTTCGGGCAGTTTGTGGTAAGTTTCCTTTCAACAAAATATAAAGGAGAAAGTGTCTCAATACATATGGAAATATTGTCATACATATTTTAATATATAGTATTTGTTCGAATAATATAATCACAAATGTGTAAGTGAGTAAGTAAGCAAATGTCCATGTAGAATTCTCTTACATATGTATGTATGTATGTATGGTAGGAAGTTTCAAATGCATTGTGGAGATATCTTTGTGAATAATTAATTCTAAGAAAACAAGCAAAAAATTATATAATTCGAATATAGGAGAAAGTGTGTAAACCACTAAAAGAGTTATACTTTAAAAGCTAAGTTATTATTTACATATATAGCAAAATTATGGAAAATTTCAGATTTTTTCGGAATATTACTCAATTTAATTATAGGTATTATCCGAAAACTTTGTTTTTCATTTGAAATAATCAGAACATTTTTCAAAAGCAAATACAATCAATTCAAATCGTTATTTTAAAATTTTCGAGAAAGGTTTAACAATAGTTAAATTAAGAAAAAACATTAGTGAATGAGGTTTTCATTATTATTAAATGATCGTATCGAACTGCGAAGTATGTATGTATGTATATAAGGTAATTGCACGTGAAATTTGTCGGACTTAGTAATATTACTTGAATACATACATATATAGGTATGTACATATGCGTGTATGTATGTATGTATGTATATTGTACATGAATACCAGACTAACTGAATTAACCTTAAATGAAATTAAAATAAGGAATGAATGGTTTTGTAGTGATTACCATAAGAATTAAAAATGACTTCAAAATTCCTTATTATACAAAGTATCGAAACGGTTCAACATACATATTTTACAAATACCTTTAACCAAAAAATGTGAAGAAAAGATAAATCGTCCGCCAAACAACTCTGATCGAAACTTGTTAAGCCCGGCGCTGACAAGATTAGGCCACACTTACTTGAATTTCCATTTGTATCCCCTCTTTCAATAAGATTACATAATTGTTATGAAAACGTTTTGTATATTTGGCTTTGTTAGTCTAATGTGAATATGTACAAAAGGGACAGAATCACCTGTTCTGTAGCTAAAGAAGACCAAGTACAAAGTCTACTATGAAACGTCGCAAAGAAATATATTATATGTATGTATTTAAATATTAATAAAAATGTGTCATTGGAGACGTTTACGAAGTGAAAACTGTGTTTCAAATTATCTTTTTGTCAATTACATAACGAAAGTATATACTAAGTCCATTTAGATAACAAACTTTATAGGAATACTCCTTTTTGAAATAAATTATTTGATAAAATTTTAAAAGTTATTTAATRTAATAACAAAAATTATGATTTTTTAGTAATATGCAAATGTAAATCGAATCATTTGTGTCTATTTATAGTATTTTCCCCGTTTCGCCCATTGCGTGGTGAATATTTCACATCAAAGTTATATTTTTCATTGTTCCCTCATATGAAAACTATAAATTAGTACTTTTTAACACGTGTGCATTCTCTACTAACTAACAGTTTCTGCATAAACATTCGTTGCTATAATAAATTCTTAATATAATTATGGCTCATTATATAGTTAGTATAGCATGCTTTTAGGCGTCGCGAGGATCGCCGTTCATTATAGCAAAAAATGCTTACAAATTACCAAGTCGCAATTACACCACCCTGTAAGTCCTACAGGGAACAGAAATTGAAATAAGTACAGAGTGCTCTCACATGATCAATCCATGAGTATGGCCATTCATATTCCTTTCCTTTTGAAAATAATTAATAAATTCTTTATAACTAAGTATTTTAAGATTAAACTTAATAAGAATTCATAAATAGTTTAAAATTTAACCTTAATCATTTTAAATGTACTAACTTTTGCTCGCCATAAATATGCTCAACTTATAGGGCATGAAACTTTCTTGTTTCATATAATTTCTTAGTTTGAATATTTGTGGTTGTCAATATAGATAATTTGTTTCATAATATATTCTCATTTCGGTAATTTCAAATATTTTTGAAACATATGAAGAGTATAAGTTTATGAATGGGAGCGCAAATATGATAACACATTCACAAATACACTTACGGTAATGTTTTTATCTCCACTTTCGATCTTCTTTCAAGATCTCCACTTGTATTTTTCTGTGAGAACACTTTATATAAAGTAACATGGACGGCTGCAGGTGTCCATATGTATGTATATTCTTCAATTATATTTTTAAATTTGGTTAACTTGCAAAATGATTTTATAATACTAGAAAAATATATTTTTCATTTCAAACCAAGCAGATCTCACATATGAACATCGCTGTATTTTTTGTCCGCATGTCAATGTTGTAAGGAAGGTTTGTTCGACAACGAACCGGAGTAAAATTGTGGTAGTGGTAAAAAAAATTATATTTTCATAAAAACAGGAAGATAAGTACCGATTTCCTTACCCATAATAACTTAGCCAACTAAAGTACAGTGATTTTGTGCGATTGGATTGAATACGATCTTGCTATCTTGTACAATGTGTCCTAAGTTGCTACAATTGTATTTTGCAGAATGCTTTGTTATTGTGAAATATTAGTTTGCTTTAGTTTTTGATTCAGATGAACCTTTATGTGAATAGAGAGAACTAAACTGAAAAACATTGCATTATAATAGATACTTAATCACCAATAATACTTTCAACTGCTTTAGGCTTCCTTGAATTCAATTTTGACTAGGTACTAAATATATCTTTGAGTTTGGGTCAGCCCCTCAAGTAATGGTAGATATCATGACTTGAAGAAACATTGGTGACGAGTCTAATGAAAAAAGACCAAAATTATGCTCTATTATCCAATACGTGACTATTGTCAGTATCTAATTAAATTATCTTCTGTTCACACCAACTATAAATCGTCAAAATTACAGTTAATGTCAGTGTAATTTTGTGAATTTCTAAGTATGAAAAATATATATTTCTTTGCTAATAATGTTGATGGTATTCATTTAGCTCATCGGTTCTAAATTTCGATATACACCGATTATGCACCTGATGAATGAAGGATGTTGTTATGCAGTTTGGTCGAAAGCGTAATAATCATTAAGCTAATAATAAAACATTGGAGTTGATCTTACCAATTTTAATTTTATTTTCATTTTTACTTAAAATCTACTTTTATATGTAGCTACATAATTCTATAACTTATCCTTGCACACACATATAAAATACTTGAAACATTATATTTACATAAATTTTTATATATAAACGTACATCTGTATACAATTGTTTATCGTGATTAAATTCTTGTTTTTTTGTTATTTTTGCTCGTTAAAAATCATAAGGTGTTATTATTATTTTTTTTATTAAATAAACATCGCTTTTAATGTAAACAATTCAATATATTTTCTTTAAATCATAATCGTACATATGTATGTAACATTTGACATTGGTAATTAGCTAAAATGTTCGCGCTCTTTACAAGATGCACACATACACTCGTCCACAGATACATGCATAAGTTACTCTTTATAAATATTTTATATAAATTTATGAATACTCTTGCGCGCAACAAACACTCCTATTTATTACAAGATTCCGTTTTAAGCCAAATACATTTGTAATAACTATAAAAAAATCATATTAAAATTTATGTATAATTTTTTACATAACATTTAATTATTATATTTTCATAATGCCTGATTTGTATTGGGAATAAAATTAACTTAAAAAAATCGGACTGGATCTCAATTAATATTGTGATCTATAAATAGTTTGCTTTAAATAAACAAAGGCCATTGGTGAAATGATAATAATGAACAAGAAACCAGTTTTAAAATTAATTAAAAAATTAAAAATTAATAAAAATTAAATTTAAAAGTGATTACTTGAAACATCTTTTGAGAACTACATTTTAAAGAATATAATTCGGATGCGTTTAAAACAGCGGTGAAGCACGAATACATGCAAATTGAGTTTAGTGGTGTCCACCGGTGATCTAAACCCATCCCTTTTATCCACACAAAATTGCCACTGAACGTTAGCGCGCAAAATGTTATGATCTGCTCGGATGCAATAATTAATTAGAAGACCTCTAGTACTATTATAGACAATAAGAAAGCATTTCCACGGTAAAAATTATAAAACAATTAACATTTTGAGAGTAGATTGAAACAAATTTTTATAAAAATATATTACAAATGTGTCACTTATTCGCTATATACTATACGTACAGATGTGTACGTACGCACATATTTGTAATTTCTTAACCCGAATTTCCGGTGAGCTTGTACACATAATGAAAAGAAAAAATTAAATTATAATATTCACGCAATTATTTCAGTCTTGGATATATGTACTTATAGAGCCTTGTCTTTCAATTGCGTTGTATTGTTCATGATATCAAAAACAGAATACTAAAAGTCGAACATATTGTATTTAGTGCTATATATTTTTAAATATTCATATATATTTATATTTTCTAATAATTCACAATAAAATATTAACAAGTACACAATTCGTTAAAATCTATTCAACCTCAATCGGTCTTTCGAAAGTACTGGTAGTATAAGGTTGGGTAGATTATTCTAAAAACAAAAACAGAAAATGTTATTGTTTTAATACAACTTATTATTTAAATTTCTTTTTAGTTTTAAATATACATTTATGTACATGTGCAAATAGTGTGTACATAAGTCACTGGGCTTGAAAAAAATTTACACTGGGAAAAAATAATCTATTACAATTTCAAAGTATTTCACATATTAATTAAATTAAATGTAAGTAAGTCGATAAGGCAAGTAAGGCCAAAAAATCAATGGATAACATCCATATATAATACATACCATATGCATAGGGCATGACCATATGAGCGAACGTATGTATGAAAAAATGTGAGAAACTTATTGCATACTTAATTTATATACATTTATTTAGATTATTGCTTTGGTATCGAATGCCTCTGGTTGTATCTCATAAAAAGAAAGTATATGCGATCAAAAAGCAAGTGTTCAGTGCCGTTGCGACGTAAAGGAAATCGAAACAATCGAAGAATCTTTAGAAAATGCGCGACATCATACGATTTGCCGTCGATAACTGTTGAGACTGGCTATTTGGGGGCAAGGCATGCTGTGTATGATGGTGGTGAAGGTGGGAATCGAATGGAAGATGTTGATGCTGATGTGATGGTGGCAGGGGTGGCAATAATCGTGATGGTAGGTGCTGGTGATGAGGACTATAATTTATAGAGCTATCCGGACCGCTGGTTGTGTTTCCAATCCAAGGAGGAAAAAGTCATGCCTCTTCCTTTAATGAGATATGATGTGTTGGTAGATTTGTGGGCAGATTGGTATCGTTATCGCCACTAATGCTACCGGGCAGTGAGGTATTGTTGCCAGTATTGCTGCCAGTGATGCCAACGTATTGGGATGGAAAGGAAGAGAGTGAGCTTGCAGGTGATAATTGCGCTGGTAATTGTGATTGGAGATGTTGAGCCGCAGCTGCCGCTTGTGCTGCTGCCACAGCGTTTGCAGCGTTTGCTGCAGCTGCTGCTGCTTTACCCTGATTGACAACACATTTGCGCATGTGCTTTTCCAGTGTTGACGGAACACTAAAAGGCATATCACAGAAACGACAACGGTAAACGTCTTTACCAGTGCGTCCATGCGTTTTCATGTGGCGGGTTAATTTTGAACTTTGCGCGCAGGCATAGGAACACAATTCACACTTGTATGGTTTTTCTCCCGTATGACTTCGGCGGTGAACGGTGAGGTTAGAGCAGTTTTTAAAAACTTTACCACAGAATTCACAAGTGTCATTACGTTGCCGATTATCTTTTTTTAACATTTGATTGTGAAGCATTGAGTTAGCAGTGCCAAGACCCAATGGTTTCATTTTGAGATTCTCGAAAATCGAATCATTCCGATGCAGAGCTGACATATTCCACCAGTCATTGCCATCCATTTTAACTCGTTTAGATAGTTCGAATGGGTTTTGAAATGGATTGAATAGGGGTACTTGATTTTGGCCATCAGGTTGAGGTGATTGCTGAAAAATGTTCTTCGATAGCTCATCCCGGAGGCGTAATGCAGTTGGGAAGCCATTCAATTTATCAGATACGTGCGATATTGCTGAATTACTTGAGTTGTTATTGTCTCTATCCTTATTTGTTAAATATTTGAATTTTCCAGACTCCTGCAATGCTTGTTTGTATGCTTCGGAGTATTGTGCTATATTAGACAAACCAAATTTGTCCATTAGTTCACCTACCAGCGATGTAGGACCAGTACTTGTAGTTTTTGGACTTTCACTTTGTATATCGATCCTATTACTAACGCTTAAGTCTTCCGCTTCATAATCGATATCTTCTCCATCTTCGATATCGTCCTCCTCGTCATCTTCCAATCCGTCTTCGTCAATGTTTTCTTCCTCCCCATCGATTTCCGTTTCTCCTTCGCCTTCAGCCTCTCCGTCAGCATCGGCGTCAGCTTCTGAATCTCCAGCATCGTTCGAACCTATAGAGCCAGCATTACTTGTGCCATCTTCTGGGCCACGATGTATTCTCATATGCTTCATCAGTTTATTGATATGGGAACACTCAAATTCGCAGGCTGTGCATTTGTATGGCTTTTCTCCGGTGTGTATTCTCTGATGAATTATCAAGTTATTTTCAAATCTAAATTTCTTTTCACAGTATGCACAAGCAAACACAGCAGCATTCTCTTGGCTGGGCTTTGAAGGCGGTGTAGAAGCTGATCGAGGCGTAGAATTGATGTTTTCGATTTCCTGCTTCATAGAATCACTCTTTTGTGGAGGAGTTAGAGAATGTGGTCTCGTATTGTTTGTCACAGGAGTAGGAGGTAGCTGGGATGGTGATGGGCTCGCAAAATGAGGCGATTGCTTTTGTCGTGGACTCGGCGAGCTCGAGTTAACAATATTTCCAGCCCCAGGACTTGTTGTTCCTGCAAGCTGACGCAATCGCTGCGAGTAAAAATCCATCTGAGGCTCAAGATTTATACCAGTCTGAGACCCCACCTGGTTGGCGGTATTCTGTTGTGGAAGAATTATTGGTGGAGGTGGAAGTGGTGTGGGCGGCGCTGAACCACGGTGGCTATTACTATTTGAAGGAGGTCGTGATTCCATAGGGTTGTTCGAGGATCCGTTAGTACCTTGACTAAATTGAGAAACTCCAGAGTGTGGGGTGGAGAGTGAACTTGCTGCTGCCACAGCAGCTGCTGCTAAATTCAAGCCATGATGCCTAAATTGCTCAGATACAAGTTGTTCCATTCTGTAATGGTCGGGATGGGGTCGCGAAAATAGAGGTGTGACAGTAGGAACTACAGGGTTTTGTGCCAAAGAAGGTGGTAAAGGCATTCTCAGCAGATTAAAAGGATTTGCGTGCATGTCGGGCGGCGGCAACAGCGTATGATGCCGCATGCCCGCAGCTGCAGCGACCGCTAAGTTTTGAGCATTTTGCATTGCTGTTGTAAGATTGCTTTGTTGTTGTTGCTTATGTTGTTCAACCGCTGCCGCAGCAGCAACTGCTGCTCGATGTTGTTGAAGTTGTTGTTGGATTTGTTGATGTTGCTGTTGGACAGCATTTGAGTGACCACCACAAGTAGGGGCTGGTATGCCGGTAGAAGAGTTGTTACTTCCATTACCGCTGCTATTGCTACTAATGTTGCAGTTTGTACTCGAGTTATCAGTTTTGTGTGATTGGTGACTGACGGGCGGATATAAGGAAGAAGCGGCGGAGGGTAAAGTCGATAAGGGCTGTGCACTTGATTTCGCTGAGGTTATAGTTGGTGCCGATACAGGCACAGATGCCGATAGAGGCAAATTCGACAACGCCGGATCCGACACTAAATCGGAATTCGGAGATAGAGAGGTGGGGAGTTCTACATATATCTTAACATCATGCGAATGTTGCACATGCTGAATTAAGCGCCAAGCAGAAGTGAAACGAGTCTTGCATGTGGAACATGTATAATTGCTGGGTTCTGAAAAGACATAGTAAAGAGATTTTTAATTAGACAATTAATTTTTTATCACATATACTGCTTAGCCTTTAGGTGAAACCACTGTTCATAAAGCTTGATAAGTTACATTAATATAACTACAGAAAGGTTTTCTCTAAGAGCGGTTAATCAAGACGAAAGTATTTAAAACTTGTTATGAAATTTCCACATACTTCTATGCACATCTAGTTAGCTCTATATTTTGGAATCTATACTTCAAGAACAATATTTTCTAAATTCTGTCATCCCTTCCTCACTCATTGAAAATAAGTGTACACATTGTCAATATACATATGGCATCTTAGTGAATATTTAAATAAAAACAAGCTTGTAGGTATGTAGTTGGGGCTCACCTCTCCCACTTCTTATCTAACAATGTTCCTAATACAAAGAAAAGTGTCGCGCTTATTGCATACAAATGATCACCAATTACGAATGTTACGTATCGGATACTTGTATATTTTCATCGGACGTCATCCCCTCTTCTTATCTACAAGTAAATATGTATGTGTATATATTCTTAGCAAAGAAGAGTCCAATGTGTTAACGAACCACAAAGTAGTGGATGAATCGAGCGGTTTGTAGAACATTTCCCGCATTTATTTGCGGCCGCTCCAATTTTTTATTTCACTTTTTATGGGTTAGCCATATCCTCGAGCACGTATGTAGACATAATAGGTGTATGTTGTCTTGAAAGTGTGTGTATGTGCCGAGAGGCATATGTTCGCACATATCAGGGCGACACATTGCGGTATCCATTGGTTTGCAAGTGTACATCATCGATTGACAACACACATTCATGGCCAGACCAATACAAGACCATGTGTATATACGTATGTATGTGCCCGTGTATTGCAATATCGATGCTTTTAAAATTCACAACGGTGATGACAGTGCCAGATGTTCCTGCAAAATGAATAATTGTAAATTCAACTGTGTAATGTTAAAGCGAGGAAAATCCATCCTGTAAGCTTTTCCGTAAGAAATAACTGCCGTAGGAAACTTCTGATGAGAAGTTTAAAATTAAATGGACAATTTCACATGTGTAACACATTTGCGATGCCACAAAATTTTCACCCTTGGTATTAAGCTAAATCAGCTCTGAGCGAAATCCATTTAGTACACATGTGTTTGCGGTTGTGGCTTTTATTGCTTTGTGTACAGTATGCCATTCCCTAACCATTTATCCTGATAGTGAAATTGTAAGAAAAAGCGGTTGATGCTTGTGTATACAGAGGATTTAACGGCAATTCGCCGAAAAGCTACTGACCATAGGCGGCAATTATTGATCTCCAATCACTAAATAGTGTACCGAAGAAAACTGTTCGCAGCACTTTCATTCAAACAAAAGCCCTTGCAAAATTCACTCGATAGCTTATAACTAAAGCATGAAGGTGAATAGTGTTTTCATGTACATATGTACATACATAGTATGTGTTCGTAGGAATACATGTATATTTTGCATTCTGTGAGCATCCTTTCTAAATGTGGCAGTGTTCCTTTTCTTCTTGCAAATGACATCCTCTGGCATCCTTCGCTATCACATGAATAAACAATGTCAAAGGTGAAAACTGCGTTACATGATCTCCGGAGATGATGGTATAACCCCGAAGCCCCTCTGTACCGCATAAGCGGGTAACTTTAGTTCATTAGAGGAAACTCCTTTTATTAGGGTTGGCGAGTATGTGTGTATGCACATATGGACCTAATGTCGTATGTTTAAGTGACAGCAGTGGCAACATGCAAATGAGGCAGCAACGATGACAATTGCTGCTGATCGCAGCTAAAACATAATCGCGCGAGTATCGTATTGACAACGAGCGCATGTCATGATGAAGGGCATGTGCAAGAGCTCACACTATTTCGGGTAGGTATATGTGCGTGTATTTATTATGTTTGAGTGGCGTTGCACAAGCGTGAGCGGCGGACGTGCCAATAATTAAAAAGGGTTGCATGAAACCTTTTTGGATATTCATACATATACATACATATGTACATTTATGTGGATATGTGAATGTGCGTACATAAATTAATTTTTATAGAGAATCCTTCACTTCCACTTTTTTTTTGCATAAATTACAAGAAAAAGAGTGTTTGGAAAGGTCGACATTTTCGTCGCAAATGGAAATAAATATAGAAAAAGGTGAAGTTTCTATCAAATAGATTAACATGTTTGAGTTGCCCCTATTTGCGTACATTTGTCTATTCTTTGAAGTCTTGGTTGAGTTTGTTGTCTGACACGAGCATGTCACGCGAATAAATATTGGTGAATACGGT